GAGTTCTTACTATCAAATCTCGGTATGAATGGCTTTTTCATTTATCTAAAACGAAGTCCCCATAGACTTCGTCACAAAAAACGGCATCACCTACGACCCGACCATGAATAGATCAAATACGAATAACAAAAAATAATGGATTAAAACATACAGCAACATTAAACAGACGAAAAAGAACAAGGAAGCTCATATTCTCCACATTGGCGGCATGCTGTGTCCGGCGCGCATCATTGCGCGCTTGGAGCAAGCTTGCCGCCGCCATAATCTCTGGAGGGTTGTAGGGTGTACCAGGCGAGGAAAAGAAAGCCTGGGAAGATTCCAGAACTCAGTTGTTGGGTTTTTGATGTAGAACAAAGTTATGTACTAGGCTGTTGCATAAGTTCTGTCCGATTTGAATTTTTGAGTTTAAAATGTCATAACTTCTTTCAGAGTCAACTTTTTTCCAAGGTCTTAGTTTCTATGTGTTGAGCAGTCCCTTGGCTAAAAAATGCATATTGAGATCTGCGCAAATCTTTGTTAAGGAAGAACCAAGAATGCAAAAACTTCGCAGCGTTTTTCTTCGAATCTGTCTTTTTTGACATGGTAACGCTCCCTTATGAAAATTGATAGGCATCTTTTCTAATAATGGATGGATAGAGAAATTTTCGTAGATTATTATGCAACATAAAAGAGCCCATAGGGTTTGCGCTGCCGAGAGATTTTCCTGACCGAACAAAAAATTAGCCACTTTTTGACCTCGCTTCAGCACATGTGTGCATGCCTATTTATGAACTACGAACGTTTTACAACTGACGTGAGCGCCGAAAAGGAATTGGTGGATGGGCCCTGTTAGCTCTTGCTTTGCCCTAGCACCTCCAACTTTGAGCTTGTCGATTACTTCTATTCGCAGAAAGTTATTGCTTGTAAAACATCTATACCAAAGATTTATGTTCGAGGATAAATTTTACTAGCAAGACGTATTCTTCATGGGACCGAACTTCTGCATATACTAGCATTCCAAACCCTTATTCGGAAGCCAATGAAAGAACCTGACTTGAAGGGCGCATTGTGGAGATATCCTCGCAAGGACATATTTCTAGGGATAGAACGTACCTCGGCCACTTAGAGATTTTAGGCCTGTGATCTCCGTACACTAAGAATTTTATTGAATTCTGGTATGCTTTAGAAAGCGCAAGGAAAGCACTTTTCAATGATACCAACCGTATCGAATTAGAGATGAAATTCTCTTAGAACAGCTGCTTCAAACATGAGGCAAAAAAATCGGACAGAACTTATGCAACAGCCTAGTATATACAAGTTATATATACACACTATACGAATTTACTTACTTCTGATCTCTTACATCTCAGGTTGATTCTACCAAACGTTTTTTTTTTACTCTTATCGCTAATTATGGCAGAAATTTGACTACTGTTGATCACTCAGATAATTTCAAATCATTCTGCTTACGACTGCTTAAGGAGTACTTAGGGTGAGCTCAGTGAATTAGCCTAGGCACGCATGGTTTAGCCCATTCGCCTTGCTCTCACCCTCCTACATCAACTTTGCTCAGAGCAATAGGATTTAATGCAGTATACCGAAAGCAACATCTCAGAGGAGCTAGGGTGAGCTCAACGAATTAACCGAGGTACGCATGGTTTAGCCCATTCGCCTTGGTCCCACCCTTTTACATCAAATCTGGTCACTTAAATAGAGAATGTGAAAGTAACTACCTTTGATACCGTTAGTCCAACCTCACGTTCTATTCACTATCCATGTTAATGTTTTGAACAGGCAATATAGTGGTCAAATTTGGATGCTATAATTCCTATTCATTTAGTTTGGTAGTATCAAAATTGAGAACATTTTTTTAATGATGATTTTATCTGAGTTCTTTTTCTTCCTGATGAATATTGCCTAGACTTTTTGACTAGTCGATGGCGCACTTTTGGTGCAATAAATAAATAAATAAATAAATAAATGTTCAACTTATGAAGAAATTTGTAAGGGAAGGGAAACTTATGACTTTTTTCTTTCTACAGCCACTGCAGGTGGCTGTCCAGGTTGTTGGTAAGCAACCTAAACTCCGAAAAAAGTTTGCCACGCCTTCGGTTCACATAACTCTTTCATAATTTTTTGCACATAGTCCTAACCAGGCGAGGAAGAGGGAGTCTGGGAAACTTCCTATTGCCCATCTATACACAAATTTTTGGAGTCATTTATTTTCTCTTCGCTGTAAACAAGGCTTTTGTTTATTTCGGAGCAGGATTGATTCGCGCGCTCAATCGGCGAACCAGTTAAAACAGGAAATTATTGGTTTCTGCAGGAATGTGATCGATAAGGCAGGATTGACAATTTGCTTCCCCCATAGGAGATGAAAGGTAACATGAAGGCAGAAGGCGATTGTGTGGGTGTAGGGGGGAGGAGTTTCCGCAAACGTCATTCACCTTTTACCCGAAAAGTACCAGTTCGCCCCGTAAGCCACCTGTGCCGAGACCTGCCTACTGTAATCTTACAGTACTGAAGAGGTATAGGAAATCCGCGCCATATTGTAGATGATAGCCGAGAAAGTCGAACGGCACATAAAAGTTTTTCGAAATTTATCGCACTCTTTGAATTTGCAGATAAAATGAAACTATTTTTAAACAATTTTCAGCTCCACTTCTTTCCTTTTAAAGCGTCTATTTCCTGGAGTGTTTATCCTGGCTATTCACTTGTGTATCACCAATATTTCAAATTCATTGTTGTTTCATAGATTGTAGCGAAAGTTTACGGGTATGCAGAGATTGCGGGGATTATTAAACTGCTGTAACTTCAAACGAATTGATCCTTCATGATAGTTCCAACGTTTGTTGCAAAGATAAACCTGTTCATAAGACATGCTGACTCACTGAGTTTATATCGTCGTCTCCCCGGCGTACGTTGGGCGGAGCTTTTGCGGACATTTCAACACGTTGGTGAACTTGTCAACCTCTACTTCAAAGCAAGGTTCTTTGCACTCTCTCTAATCTGCCACGTTTATATGCTGTTGTCACACGTGGCAGGGTTGGTAGCGAGAGATCACAAAAAACAATGACTCGTAGTAGAGGGTCAACAGGTTCACCAACGTGTTGAAATGTCCGCAAAAGCTCCGCCCAACGTACACCGGGGAGACGACGATAACTTTTTGAGATGCACTTCCAGAAGTATGCGCGGAATGGAAAAAGGTCATCTTAAGGATTGATTTGTAAGCAAGATTATCTTAGGCAATGAACTCTGAAGAGCTCGTATGTGGTGGTTGCGCCTTTGCTGCCATTATAAGGACAAGTTGATTATTTTTGAGATTTTGTCATTTTTTGCACCTCAAAAAGGCCTTGGCACGCAGTAAACCCTGTTCAGCGCAACTCGGCTAGGGCAATCCTAGATTGAAACTAAGACGCCTCAGTCGGGCATCCGGTGAGCTATAGATTTGGATGCGGATCGCTTCCCAGACATGATAATCATGTGTGTTCTTGAAAAAAGGAACATCTTAGGCTGGTTTTGTCAGACTCATAAGCGATTGAAACTGAACGCGCTGCTATGGTTCGACACGACAGCGCCAACTTTTGCTGTATCGCCGGGCATTTTGAGAGGGATCATTATCGCAAAATCGAAGATGACCGCTATCAAGAACTTCGCTTAGCAAATGCATGGATAAAACCGAAAAAAATTTTGACGAAAATTTCACGAAAAAATGAAATGGTTGCGACATGAATTTAATGAAATAAATCAATAATTTCTCGTCTCGGGCAGCTTTTCAAAATGGCAGCAAACTCTACAAAAAAAATCTATTTCTTTGTTTTCCACGCCAAGATCAGCTGTTTATCTCCTCTCCTTCTCGGGCCCTAGTATTGTGCAATTTTGCACCTCTTCTTCCGCAGTGTTAGGTAAACTGATGTGTGTCGTAAGTTCAGGACTGCTTACGAAACTCTCCTCTGTGTCTCGTCTTCTCCATGCTATTACGTCTCAACTGAGCGTGAAGTGATGGGATTGGATCAGTGAGTGCGGCAGGTGAACGGATGGTCAATGTCACACTTTGCGCTCTTATAGCATAGGAAGGTGGGCTGTCGTCATTTTAGCTGACGGAATCTCATGATGGCTTTAGTTTGGTTCATTTGAACAGATCCAGCCTTACTATGGGCTTTTGTTTTTTTAGAAAGGTTGAAGACTTTCCTTTCTGCCTGAAAGAGCTAAATCTTTATTACTATCATTTTGTCGAGGTCATATATGTAGTCGACAGTGAGATACGACTATTCCTGCGGATTGGCGGTACTGCGTGATTCGCTGTACATGTGAGATTATGTTAAAACTTCTCGTAGAGCAGATATGTTTGAGATATGTTGACAAATTCAAACTCAGACTTTGGACATACTTCATGTTACTGGTGTTACCCGTGTTGCCCATGTTGCCCGTGTTACCACCGTTACAGTGTTATACTTACCGGTGTTACTAGGTTACTCGTGTTATTCGTGTTACTAGTGTTACTAGTGTTACTTCTGTTACTCACCAGTCAGTGATATTGCGTTTCAAAATGAGAATGTATTGTGATCATTTCACTATTCAACAGCAATAAAAGCGGCAACACTAGTAACACCAGTAACGCGAGTAAATGACTAACACCGGGAACACGAGTAACATGGGTAACACTAGTAACACGAGTGACACGAGGTAACGCTGGTAACACCGGTAACACGGGTAACACGGATAAGGTATGACCAAAGTCTTAGATTAATAGGCGATTCTTTTGAAACATGATGCTTTTCTGAAGCGCTTGCGCCTTCAATTCTTCATCTTGTCATTTAGAATAATGAAAGCGCAGTCAAAATCATTTCAAAGAAGAAAAGATAAGGAAAAACGAAATTTGTTATCCATACTTTGCCTCACACTTGCGAATACGATCATGCTTTCACTAGTTTGCTCGTGTATTTCTTTTCAACATTTTATTGCGCCTCATGATACACAAGTTTAAAGATTAATCTTTGTGTCTTTTTCGTTAGATATCTGTCCATGAAATAATGCTTGCTACCCTACATTTATGTAAGCAAGGACTTTTGGCGATTTACCATCATCTTCCAATTTTATGGATCCTTGAATGTTTGCTGATCCCTGGAATTGAAAGGTGTGCATAGAATTTCTGAAATACGCGAGTACCTTTGTTTCTATTCGCGAATCATCTGGCATTGCAATGTAAAACGTTTCATGTTGTGGTAGATCAACAGCTGATTGTACATCTATGGTCTCAAGCGATAATCCATCTCGGTCGGTCGCATCATCTCGAGGTGAACCCAGCTCTCGCACGGCATTCTGTAAAGTAAATGTTCTCGCTGTCTCATCAGCTCATCACCAGTAAAGCTACAATACCGCTCGGGCCCGATTCATGTGACATCACCGCAGTGGCCATCGCCTGAGAGTGGACAAATTCTTATTCCAAGGGCATCTTTTGAATCAGCTAGGCGCGGTATCTTCTGACATTCAGAAGTGCCTGTTTGGACACTGTTGGAGGCCAGATCCCACATATCGTCTCAGATTTTCGCTCACGGTAGGTTACCCAGTGAGTGCTGTGAGAAAGCACACTGAGTAACCTAGTAAGCAAAAATCTAAAACGATTCGTGGAATCTGGCCTCCTATGGCGCACTTTGAATACCAGAAGGTGCGCCGCCCGAACTTTGTCGAATGGTGCCTTTGGAATGAGAATTCGTCCACTCTGAAGCGAGATATGGCCACGTTGCGGTGAGGCCACATGAATCGGGCGACTTTGCGCCATTTTGTCAAAAAATACGAGCGCTATTGTATGCTGGCTCACCATTTCTTCTACACTCGGCCGTCGAGGCTCGCTCTTCTGAGCTTTGTCGTCTAATTCAGTCGTCATGTCGACGGGAATGAGAGGCTGAGGTTCAACATGAGAATGTACAACTTTTCTTTTGTAATGCTTTTTATCTTTGATGACCTTTGGAGATAAAGTAGGTAGGCGCTCAAACTTCATTTTCTTTTCTGTTGGAGGAGAAGGAAGGGATGTGGGTGAGATAGCAACTGTTGACATCGCTTCGGATTCTTTCTTACTCGCTCTCATGGGAATGCTTTGGGATTGAACAGTTTCAGCCTTACTTTGCGGCTTTTGTAGAGTCTCTTCTAGCTTTGTTGTTGCCTTCTGCCCCGGTTCTGCGATCGGCAATGGACTTCTCGTTTTTTCTGTCTCCTTCGAACTTGTCAGTGCAAGGACAACCGAATCTTCTACATGTACTGGTTGCTGAAGCTCGAGATTTGCAATCTTTACCTCTTCTAGCGCCTTAGGTGATGGGATAGTAGGCTGATCTAAGGGCGGGGTCTTCTTTCGTATATCCAAACTAAATCCTTCTGGTTTTGTCCAGTTTACATTTTCTTGTAAAGCGGCATTTGGAACAGCTGAAGAAATAATTGGTTGCTTAGGCTTCACTTTCGTGACTTCCACATCAGCTCCAATCTTAAATGGTAAAATGGTTGGCCGGTGTGGAGACTCAGACATTGCCAGTAGCCGAGGTTCTATATTCTTCTCCTTTTCTTCTTGCTCGGTTTTGAAAACAGATGGCGAGGTAGGAGCTGAAATTTCTGACATCGGCTTAGAATCAAATGTTGTAGCCTTCGTCTTTTCTACCATAGAGGAATCACGCTTGTATTTTGTATAGTTTAACACTTCTACAACCTTCAGTGGTACTCTAGTAGGAGAAACTGCAGGCGGAAAAGGCGTAACTTCAACTTTTTCTGTTTTCTCTTCTTCGGCGCTTCCTGGTAGAGCGAATGGTGCAGTAGCAGGATCTTTTGAAATAGACTGGTTTATCTCCACTTGCGTTGCCTTTAATTTTTTCGAAGTCTCGAGTTGAACTATAGGGGTCGCAGAATGGGCTTTTATCACAGTCTGAGGCTTGATATTTTCAGATGTCTCTTCCTTCGCACCTTCTGGCAATACAGCAAGCTGTGGGGTAGCATCAACTTTTGCTATCGGAGGCATTGGCTCCGGCTTCGATGGAGGGGAAGTAACGTGCGGAGGCTTGAACAGGGGAAGTTGAGGCATAGTCTTTTCATCTTCTTGCTTTGGTAGAGTAACTGATATAGCTGAGGGAAAGGCAGAAGTAGTTAGTGACACAGGTAATTTTGTTATCTTTCTTTCGTCCGCAATATCTTTTGGCAAAGTAGATGGTGGACCAACAGGATGCGTTGCTATCGGAGCTTCTGATACGTCGTTTTTTCGTTCTTGCTCTTCTGCACTTCCCGACAAGCTACTTTCTGGAGAATGTTGAATAGGCTTTTGCTCAGGTTTTACTTTTGTAGTTTTCAGCTGCTTTACAGCTTCAAGCATATCCGGTTGTAATGGAGGTTTGAGGAAAATTTTGGGCTTCTCTTCTTCTTCGATTTCTCGTGATCCTTCAGATCGGATTGTGTACCGGAATGTCGAAGCTGCCCGTTTACCATCCGATTTCGTATGCTTCATCTCCTCTACAGCGGCTGGCATAGGAACGACGGTTGGTGTAGGTTCGGCCTTCTTTGCCTTTTCCTCCAAATTAGACGGAAATGGTGTAAGAAGCACCTCAGCCCTTTTCGGCTTTACTTCTTCTTCTGCGCTCCCTAACAGAGCAGCAGATGGAATAGCAGGCTCCTTTCTTACTGTCTTCTCTTCCTCAATCTTGGATGGAGGTCCAACTGATATTGCTGACACAGGTACTCTAGCTTCTTTTGGCTTCTCTTCTCCTTCCCTCTTTTCTGAAAAGGCGGCTGGCGCAGGCATCAAATTTGCCATTTTTTCTTCTTTCACAACCTGATGAGTAATTGTAGTTATTACCTTATGAGCCTCCTTCGAAGCATCAGACACAACTTTATGCTGCTTATCCTCTTCTTCCCTTCTTGAAGCAGAAGAAATTTCTGTTACGTTTGCTTGTAACTGAGGCAGTGTTGTGGCTTTTAATTGGTCTTGGTCTACGGTGTCCAAAGCAGTGGACGGTACTGCCTCTTCTAATGTTTTCTTCTGCTCTTCTTCTTTTCCGATTTCTGGAACAAGTGCTCGTGGAGCAGTTATAGTTTCTACTGGTTGTTTTGGCGCAGACTTTGAAATTTTGGGTTCTTCTGTAGATGTTGAAAGAAAGTCAGAAGGTGTCACAGATTGAGTTACGGTCGAAGGATGAGGCTTAGTCTTCTCCTTCATTTCTTCTGGAACTTCTTGATCAAGTGATGGAGTAACAAGATGATCTGTTGTGCTTGCTTTCTCAGGTTGTGTAGCTATCACCTCTTCTGGTGGTTTTTGTAATGAGATAGTTGCTGTAGTCACATCTAGGATTCGTTGAGCCTTCTGTGGTGTCTCCTTCTCCTCATTTTTTGGCAAAGCGGCGGGTGGAGCAGATACTGGAACTCCACTTGATGGTTTCACAACTCCCGCATCTTCGACATTCTTTGCTGTTAAAACGGGAGAAGGTACAGTAGATGAAGAACCCGGTGGAGTTTTGAACTCGTGCAGGCTTCCCTCTTCCACAGTGTCCGTCGAAGCAGAAGAAGTGGATCGGGCTGATGGTGTCTGTTGGTCAGTGTCCAGAATATTCGACGATTCAACCTCGGGTGCTGTGCCACTGGACGGAATGGTTTGAGCATGTAATTTACTCTGTCCTTCTTGACTTAGAACGATGACAGACTGAGAAGTAAGAGTCTGCTTACTTAGACCTTCAGACTGAGGTTCCACCAACCCTTTATATACTTTTGGTTCTACGATTGTTATCTTTCGAACATTTACGCTTGGTCGCTTCTTCGGTTCTTTTTTCTGTTTCTTTACTTCCTTGGCCTTCTGAGGTGGTCCTGGAAGGAGAGCAATAAGCTTTTGCCCTTCCCTATCTTCCTCCTTAGCGTTTTTGACTCCAGCAGTAGACGGAATTGCACTTCTTGGTTCTCCTTTAGGCTCACTGTCACCCTTTTCCAATGCTTTTCTCTCTTCACCCACTGTACCTTGCAACTCAGCTGCGTGTGCATCAGGTTCACTATCCGGTGTAAAATGCCAATGTTCATAGCCTTGAAATTTCGTTTCTCTCACAATCATCGGCTCTCCAAATGCATTCGAAGTAACAGGTAGAGGAAAAAATGGTTCTTTTTCTGTATAACTGTAGACCCATTCGCGCACAGCATACATCTCTCCAGAAGGGAGTCTACGAGTTTCTGCCTTGAATGGAAGTGGGGGAGCCACACGGGTCATTCTTGCTGAAAAACAAACACATCAGTTCAGTTGACTATTTGGGGAAAGTATACAGTTAGCTTTCTGGCGTACCTCTCTCATGGACTGTCCCACCTGAAGGTCGTTTCACTCCTGTTTCCATTTTTCGACGTTTGCGTTCCTCTTCTTCGCGTGCTAATTTGCGCATTTCACGTCTTTCTTGTTGTTTTGTTCTTTCGACTTGGCGTAGAACTTCCAGCTAAAATAAAGAGATGAAAGAAAGTCAAATCAAGGGGTCTGTCCGATGCTACCAGTGTTACCCTTGTTACTAGTGTTGCTCGTGTTACTCGTGCTACTATTGTTAATCGTGTTACCCGTGTTACCACTGTTACCAGTGTTACTAGTTACCCGTGCTATCAGTGTTACCCGTGTTACCCGTGTTACCCGTGTTACCCGTGTCACTAGTGTTACTCGTGTTACCCACCAGTCAATGAGATTGCGTTCTAAAATGAAACTGTATTGGTGATCATTTTAGTACTCAACAGCAATAAAAGCGATTACTAGTAACACTAGTAATGCGAGCAACACTGGTAATACCGGTAACACTGATTTGGTGACAGTGGGTAACACTGGTAACACGAGTAACACGAGTAACACCGGTAAAACTAGTAACACTGGGGACAGTGGTAACACTGGTAACTCGTGTAACACGAGTAACACGATTAACACTAGTAACACGGGTTACATTTTTGACATCGGTAAACTCTGGCGGATCCCTAAGAAACTTTGCACAAACTCAACCTCTTTGTTTCTCACGCGTTGCTCCTGTCCACCAGGGTAGAAGTTCCCCGGTTTGTCGACTTCTACTGTAGCAATCGCTTCTCTAAATCAAGACGACTCTTTAGGGCTCGAGTAACCAATTTCAATCAATTTTTTGCATTTTCGCAAGCAGGCATGCTCTTTGACGCAAACTCACTTCTACTCCAAAACTTACTGTTCATGCGAATTGTCATTGCCCGTGATATGTGGTTGAAACGAAACAGTTATCGCCAAACGGACATCTTGAGGGTTTTTGACAAACTTCTGTATGGTTTTACATACAACTTCTTTTACGAGCTAAAGTAAAATCGATCATTAACGCTCTTCGGTTGACGAAATCATGTTTGGCTTTTTCTATAACTTACTTGTGTATTGTGACACTGGAATTCCTTTTCGAGTGCAAATTCAGGGAATTTGGATTCGTTTTCTTCCCTGAACGTAAACATACGGCATTATTGCCAACATCGGAAACCAAACTGTTCAGCATCACTTGCATTTGTATCACAAAAGACCAACCAGCTAGGGTCGCAGATTGTTATAAACTGAAACAATACCACAATTCAGTACGACTCTATTCACGAACTGAAGTTTTATGTCTATAACAACCTTATCAAACATATCGACAAGTATGACTTATTGTGAGAAGTGCATGCTTCAAGAAGGCGTAGGGCAGAGGGGAGGGACGCTCGTTACGTGTGGGCGGCAATTAAAAATCGTCGCGCGCGGCGTTACAGTAACCGCGCGCAACGTGCAGTAATGCAGAAAACTTATCATATTTATACACTTAGATTACCAATGCTTTCTATCCTGTTAGTCTTTAACCTTCTTCAGTGTGTCTCTTTTTCGTCCTCTAAAGGGATAATTTATAAGTTTAGTGGCAACATTTCGTATAAGTAAGCAAAACTAATATGCATAGAAACAATCTGTAAACCTCAACAAAAGATGAAAAACTGCGTGCTGCATATCATGGTGGCTGAGTTCTCCGCATGCGGTCACTGGCAGCCTGTCGCGCGCGACTTTCTCTGAATGGCATCCACACGTTACGATAGCACCCGCGAGCCAGTGTCATCATTTTCAAGGGAACAAGGGGTCATGCCTAGGGTCAAGTGAGAGGTGTGGCGAACACCGGATATGGCCCCCTACTCAGATAATCGCCGGGGACAGGCGGCCATGCGATTTATGGGCGGACGGGCATCGGAAAAATAGTTCGCTGATTTTTTGCGGTCCGCTTGCAGATATTTGGAATAATTTTGGCGAAATTTTAGACGAATGCTTGGAGAACAATCGTGGTTTCCTTATAGATTAGCTGCGGCGCAATGACCGCATTCTCGCGGACTTTTTTGAGAATATGCAAAAAATTCGAGGGCCGCACGGTCCTTTGTGGAGGACCGCGCAACTCCCAGGTACTCTCAGCTGAGAGAAAGTACCTCAAACTTGAGTAATCAAACCAACGGTGACCCTCTGCCACACAGAGTCTTACCTGTGCTCGACGTAAGCCCGAAACTGCGTAAAAAGAGTCCGAGCGCCTGCTGAAAGTTCGGCCAGAGTTTGCTGAAAGAGATTAATTGACGAGCGCCTGCAAAGTCTGTGTTGCAGCCCGCTGGCAGAACATTAGACAGTAAAGGAAGTACCGCTCGCTGAAACTTTGGCCACGCCCCAAAATTCTGCTGACCGCTTGCAGAAAAGCGCGCGTTTGCGGACCGCCTGCCCCCGGAGATTATCTGAGTACTTACTGGGTCTTGATAAGACCGCTTCAAACTACCGTTTAATACCATAAGCATGAGAAAGAATCCTAAAGGATATCCGTTGACGATCGCCCCGTTTCGTGAATTACACCACCGCAGGCGTGCCTTTTTGAAGCCTTTCCAGCTTGACAGTACGCTGCAGCGCGCGGGGACTTGGTAGCTCGCAGCATTCCTGTCCTTCAACCTCTTTTATTAATTTAAGTATTTCACACCGTTTTCTTATTATTTTTCATTTTAGGCAAGTAGCCGTTCTAATGTCTAAAGGCTGCTGCATGACGAAGGCGCAACACTTTTGGGCGCGATCGCGGTTTTATTAGCCGCAGAGCGCATGAGGCGCAGGATTTACAACGGTGAGGATACTTGCGCGCCGCGTTCGCGCCCGCTCAACTGATACTACTTCTGCGCCTTCGTCATGCAGCAGCCTTTATGTGAGATCATCGCCGCGAGCAAAGTAGAGTAAAGAATGACCTTTTTGTAATTGCAATGGTAGATTCATGGCTATGATTGGGGTTGCATGTTTTTTTCAATGTTTTGTAACGATTTGACATGTTTTCTGGGACAGACCACTGAAATGATAACTTCAGCACTCCTACATTGTGGACACTATGTAGGAGTGCTGAACTAAACATTAGTGGCCTCATCTAAGGAAATTCCATGATAGCCACCACTGCTTATGAATAAAGCACACACACTTTCATCTAATTTTGCCCTAATTTTAATGGTTTACAATTGTGTAAAAGAAAAGAATGTAAAAGAATGTTTGGCGTGTAAAAAGGAAGAGGAATTCAAGAAATGTGCCTAAACAACTTTTTTTCCTTACCTTTCAGTATTTATCAAAGAAGAACGTAAGATATTTGAACATCGAGAGAATCTAAGAGAAAGGTAAAACGAATGACTGATTGAAATACGAAATTAAGAAGAAGAAAACGATGTGAAATACTTAAATCAACGAAAGAGGCTAAAGGACACTGTTGCTGTGAGCTACAAAGTACCGGCACGCTGCAGTACTGTCAAACTGGAAAGGCTTCAAATAGGAACGCCCACGGTGGTGTAAATGCACGAATCGCGGCAGTCGTCGATGAATATCCTTTACTAAGCATGATGAATACCATTTTCGTAATCTGCATACCAAGTAGACTAAGCTTTAGAGATTTCTAATGTTTTAAATTACTGCGCTACCTGACAAAAATCGTTATTTATAGATACGATCGACTTTGTTTCAAAAAGAGATTGCTACTTCTTTTCTCATTGTCAGCACAAAGTACTACCCTTTTTTAGTAAACGCTTGGATTCACACTTCAAATAACTTCCGAACAATGGAATTGGGAGTCAGCTATAATGCTCAGCTTATTCTTCGCTTGCAGTAGATCTGCTTTCAGCAACTTATTACTCGGAGTGAATACAGGATGTCTGTAAAGTATATATACACTGTTTGATCGTTAATATCTTTCTTCCTAAGAAGTCTTTTGCCTTGCTTCAGGTATCTTTTTGTAGAGCTGGCTTCAATTTAGATTTGCGGTATAAAGCGAATTACCCATCTCTCTCCATTACTGTAGGATTACGGTAGAAACTTCAAAGAGGATTTTGAGCCATGAAGGGCCATATTTTGCCTCAGAAAGGAAACAAAACAGCCTGAAAGCTTTTACACTAGGCTAATTAGAGTTGTTTATTCTAACTGTAAAGTTCCCAGCTTATTATGATGCTTCATTGAAGAGTTATGCTGGGTAATAGGTAGCGGCCATTTTTTCAATGTTCCTAAAAAGTGCGGTTACACCGAGAAAGCTTCGCAATTTTGTGAATAGTTGAGTATTGAACTCAGCGTCCATAAAAACCCTATTACACAAGTTATTACATTTTTTTTGAAAAATTTTGAGACCGCAACTTCTTCCACATTGACACCCATGTTTCAAGTTTCTGTCGTAATCCTCCAGTAATGAAGAGGAATGGGTGATTCGTTCTATAATGCAAATCTAAGTTGAAGCTAGCTCTACAAAACGGTACCTGAAGCAAGGCAAAAGACTTCATGGGAAAAGAGATATTAACGATCAAACAGTGTATACATACTTTACGGACACCCTGTAGAACCGAATCATGGTCGAAACAATCATGTGAAAACTACGAGATTTAGGCTAAGAACGATGTAGACAATGATCGATAAAATTTTTTGAACGTAACGCTAAACCTTCTTCTCCATCGAGAAATTTGTTACGAATTGTTACTCTTACAAGGGAAGGATACTAACTTAGATTCGCCTTTTGAGATGGGACACATATATTTGGCATCAGGTTTGAATGCTGATACCAATTATGCTATTCCTAGCTGCTTAGCCTTATTCCGAAGCGAGTTATGGGCTTGCTGTTGTGAGCAACTAACGAAATTCTGGATGCCGTAAGACGGCATGTATATAAAAATCTACTCGAAAAAAGTGCTAGGATGTTTAACTAGCATCAGATTAATTCCTTTGATCTTGAAACGAAGCATTGTACAATTGCAAAACCATCTAGACGTCGACACCGCAGTATCAGTAGGTCGAGGAGCACGCAAGCTTTGCATGGGAAAGAGACCATAACTTGCTTCAGAATAATGCTAAGCAGCTAGGAACAGCATATTTGGAATCAGCGTCCCAAGCTGATTCCAAATATATGTGTCCCATCTCAAAGGACGCATCTAAGTTAGTATCCTTTCCTTGTTAGAAGAAGATATAGGCCCGTAGTAAACTACCGTCAGGGCATCTCCCCTGAGGCGGACCGGAGTTGATATCTTGGCGCCTAAGTCCAGCATCCGGCGAGCTATTGATCTGGATGCAGATCTCTTCCTGGATATTATGATCAAGTGCGTTCTCGAAAAAACAGCTACTTGATTCGATTTGGTTAAATGGGTAAGCCATTGGAATTACACGCGCGCGGCCTTGGTTCGACTCCGCTTAGCGACACAGCTTTTGCTTCATCGCCGGGCAATCTTTGATAGCGGCCACTACCCAATCGATGATGACCGCTATCAGGATTTCGCCTAGCAAACGCAAAGATAAAACAAAAAACATTTCGTTACGAAAATTTTGCGGCAAAACGAAATGGTTGCAACGTGAATTCAATGAAATGAACAAATGAGTCCTCGTTTTGGACAGCTTCAAAAAAAAAACCAGTAAAGTTTACAAAAAAGAGAAGAATTTGTTTTTTTCTGTCTTCCTCGCCAAAATCAGCTGTTCATCGATCGTCTCCTTTTCAGGCGCGGTTGTGCGATTTTGCGCGATTTTGTCCGCAGTGTTAGGCAAATTGCTGTGTATCGTAAGTTACTCAGGAGCAACTTACGAAGATTTTCTCTGCGTTTCCTCGTTAGCACACTATTTCTGGATATCATCGCTCATATCATCTCCCATGACCCGGCAGGGAGATCATCTCCCTGCCGAACTGCACCTGAGGCTCACCTCTCAGGTGACATTGCATCCCTATAGCATGGGGAAATGGGCGGTCGTCATTTTACTGAGAGAACATCACATGAAGGTTTCAGGGGAGATAATCTCCCATGACCGAGCTTTACTACGGGCCATAGTCTTTCTGTTCACGTTCATTTTCGGGTTGCAGTAGTGTGCCAGATCGCGTTACTAACTACTCAAGGCAATCGACGGCATCGGAGCGAAAGTTGGAGGGTCGCGGGCTCTGACCAGCAGGGGTTTGCCACTCGTACTCCGGAACCCTCCCATTTCACCCATTTGGTGCTCCGGGGTTCCTCCAAAGTCTGGCGCACCTCTGGAGCAGAGATTTGCGAGCCCCGGGAAAGTGTCCCATTCTCCTTCTTGTGACATCACCGTGAGCCCCCGGAGCACCAAAATGGGTGAAATGGGAGGGCTAAGCCTCGATTTGTCTGAGTAAGTACATTGCAAGGGAAGGTGGCAAATGTATGTATTAGGCATTCCGGAAATAATGTCGTTTTCTTAAGATAAACGTCACGATTCGTGATGCCGAGATTTCTAAGAAATCCTAAAAGCATTCGATGTAGCAGTTTATCTCCTTTCTCATAGATTTTCTTCTCTAAAATCTCATTGCATAATGTTAGGACTTCTTCAAAATTATCAAGATGCGTGACTCATGCTTTTTGAGATGGTCAAGTTTTATGATTTTTCTAAATTTTTACATCAACTCTCCAAAGGAATCCAAGTAAAGGTTGCATAGAGCAAACCTTAGTGTGTACAAAACACACTTTCTATCCTTTCCATAGCTTTTCATATCATGACGAATTTTTTCACCAACACCACCGGGTTTTGGCACAACTATGTCAGAAAGAAACACATCAAACACCAACAAAGCTTTCGAATTTCAAACTTTTGAAAGAAAGTATTATTTAGCACTATTTTTACAAAATAAATGGGCGTTTACGGACTTGAAATACCAATCTTCGAATCTCTGGTCAGCCTGGGGTACGTTAAGAGAATGAATGTTATGAAAATCCATGTTCGACTATCCATAAATCTTGGCATAGTTTGAATCTTCTGATTGATTTCTTTAGCAGCGTCCAAGATTGGTACAGATATTTATTCAACAACTAGCTGGCTTACCCGGCTCCGCCGTATCCGGACCAAACTTGGCACACATACACTTCGGGCCCCGGCGGGTGTCACAGTCCACTTTTCGTTATCGATCGATGTCGATTTTACCGATTTTTATCGATTTTTTGGCAGAGTTCACCTACAGGGCTAGGAGTTGGCACAGGGGGGAAGTGAGCATGGGGATTCCGAATACAATATTAGTTTTCAGAATTATCGATTGCTTTTATTGATTTTATCGATTTTTTGTAAATTTTGACATGCGAGGCTGGGGTTTTGCACAGGGGGGTAATCGAGCATGCTGATCACGAACACAATATTAGTTTTCAGGATCGTCCATTACTTTTATCGATTTTATCGATTTTGCAAAGTTTGACCTGCGGGGCTGGGAGTTTGCACAGAGGGTAATCGAGCATGCAGATTACGAATACAATATTAGTTTTCAAGATCGTCCATTACTTTTATCGATTTTATCGATTTTTTGAAAATTTGAGCTAGGGGGCTGGAATTTGGCACAGGGGTGTTTGAGCATGCTGATCACCCCCCTTGGGGATGATCAGCATGCTCGATTACCCCCCTGTGCCAACTCCCAGCCCCCTAGCTCAAACTTTGCAAAAAAATCGATAAAATCGATAAAAGTAATCGATAATCCTGAAAACCAATATTGTATTCGGAATCCCCATGCTCGATTACCCCCCTGTGCGAACTCCCAGCCCCGTAGCTCAAACTTTGCAAAAAAATCGATAAAATCGATAAAAGTAATCGATAATCCTGAAAACCAATATTGTATTCGGAATCCCCATGCTCGATTACCCCCCTGTGCCAACTCCCAGCCCCGTAGCTCAAAATTTGCAAAAAAATCGATAAAATCGATAAAAGTAATCGATAATTCTGAAAACCAATATTGTATTCGGAATCCCCATGCTCGATTACCCCCCTGTGCCAACTCCCAGCCCCGTAGGTGAACTCAGCAAAAAAATCGATAAAAATCGATAAAATCGATATCGATCGATGACGAAAAGTAGCCTATGACACGCGCCGGGGCCCGAAGTGTATGTGTGCCAAGTTTGGTCCGGATCGGTTCAGAAATGGAATTTTCTATTCGGAACATACGTACACACAGACAGACATACAGACATACATACATACATACATACATACATACAAACAGACATTCAGCTTTATATATAAGATATACAGACTGACGTTTCGGCATGCCTTTTTCAGAGTTTGAATTGTCGAAGACACATTTTGCTGTGGATTCAAGAGTTCTTTGATTATTATGCAATGAAGTTATCCATATACCAGTGCGTCACCTCTGCTTCGCAGAGGCTCGCACTGCCATTTTCTGTATGCCTTACTCATTCCCGCATAATAATGACATTGAAACTCACCGCGGTATGTAGCTATCAAGAGTGATTCGTAAGCAACTACTCATTCCTAGAGGTTTTTCATGTGAGATCGGTATTTTCGCATAGATGAGATTTTTCCCAGAAGAACAGATGCAAATTTGAATAGATTTTTGGACTCTTTATGGCTTGGCAGTCGCCATAGGGACAACGAATATGTGGGCTACATTTCTGTGCAAGAATCTTCTCAAATAATCAAGGAAAATCTTGAAAAATTGACCGCTTACACAGCGAATGCTTTGTGACGCTGTTTTCGTAAAGTAGTAGACTTTTCATTACTTTTTTTTAGGCTAACATCCATGGCTTGCACATTAGTTTGTCAAATATATCCTTTCTGCAAAAAGTAGTACTACGGACCCAAATTTGCTGGCCAGAAGCCAAGTGGATCCTTTGACGCGCAATTTTCAATGGATCCACTCAACGGATACGCTCATACTTTTGTATAGTGAGCTTTCATACTGGTAGCGTGCGCTATGCAAAATTTGGGCTCAGGACGTTGGCTGGAGTACGAATTTCGTGACAGACAGAGATACACACACATAGACACACACACACACACACCACACACACCACACACACCACACACACACACCACACACACCACACACACACACACCACACACACCACACACACCACACACACCACACACACCACACACACCACACACACCACACACACCACACACACCACACACACCACACACACACCACACCACACACACCACACACACCACACACACCATACACACCACACACACCACACACATCACACACACCACACACACCACACACACCACACACACCACACACACCACACACACCACACACACCACACACACCACACCACACACACCACACACACCACACACACCATACACACCACACACACCACACACATCACACACACCACACACACCACACACACCACACACACCACACACACCACACACACCACACACACCACACACACCACACACACCACACACACCACACACACCACACACCACACACACACACCACACACACCATACACACCACACACACCACACACACCACACACACCACACACACCACACACGACACACACACACCACATACAAACGTAAACAACCCTTAGCCCGCTATTATAAGTTATCTATATCTCTATATATAAAACTCAAAAATTGTCCGTTTGAAGCTCAATTGGGCTGAAAGTTTGTACACAGATGTTTTCGGCCTCGGAGACGGTTTTAGGCTACTTTTTGCGGCGATTCACTGGGTCCTTCTATCGATTTATTGATTTGTTTACGTTCTAAGGAATTCAAGAGTTATCATGTTCAATCAAGCATTTTGCCATAGTCATGTAAAGGAGGGCGGTGAAGCCCATTATTTTCACCTCAGGATCACAGAATGCGGTTTCGAAACGGATGTTCCAGGGTAAGCCATAACATATAAAAGGGGGGGGGGTTGGCTCGCAGTGCAGGAGAACAATGGCCCGATCTGAACCGGGAAAGCCAACTAGTCTATATATATATAAAACTCAGAATTGTGAGTTTGGAGGCTATGTACGTTATAGAAACGCGCGCCATTCAACCGATTCAGCTGAAACTTTGCACACATATGTTTTCGACCCCTGCGTAGATGATAGGCTACTTTCTGCGGCGATTCGTTGGGTCCTTCTATCGATTTATTGATTTGTTTACGTTTTTGTAAGGAACTAAAGGCTTATCATGTTCAATCAAGCATTCTGTCATAGTCATGTAAAAGAGGGCGGTGAAGCTCATTTTCACCTCAGGATCACGAGAATGCGGTTTGAAGCGGATGTCCCAGGGTAAGTTATCCATAACATATAGGGGGAGAGGGGGGGCTTGCAGTGCAGGTGAACGGAACAAGGTCCAGGCTGGACCGGGGAAGCCAAGTAGCACAGGTGCGATAAGGTGAGAATAAGGTGACTCCTCCAGGGTGAAGGGGGTCACAGTGGTCGCAGCCCCTCTAGGGTGAAGGGTGTTTCACTTGGTAGAGAAATTATAAAATATCGACGGGGGGAGGAAGGGGAAGCCATGGTGTTTTCTCATCATTTTTCCTAGTCAAAGTTCATAATTCATTCCTTACCATCACTGGTTATCTTTTTTCTGAATTGTGAACCGATGTGCTGCTGGATTAGCACACAATTATATTTCTGACCAGCACCTTGTATTTTTTTAACATTTCCTTTTCCTTTTTTACATCACCCTGCCTGTTTTTGGATTTACCATAGAAGATTTGCATGCGACAACATTTGTTTCGGAAAGGGTTAGAACAATTTTCAAACATTTACGATTTTTTTAAGAAGAAATTTATAATTTCTGTAGATGAATAGCAACGTCAGCAAGGGAAATGTTTTTAAGACTACCTGTCATTCGCTTTTAGAGAATATATAGTTTGCCTGGAGTCTGTTGAAAAAGTGCCTGGTGAAGAGTGTGGGTAGTGATTTCTGGATATTTACGAGTTTTTAAGATAGAAAAATCCGTAACTTCTGAAGATGAACATCTTGTACGCCATGATGGTCAACATTGAAACCGTCTTGTTCTCGCTTTCAGAAATTATATGCTTTGCCTAGAGTCCATCAAAAAAGTGCCTTGGTGAAGGGTGTCCTAATGATTTTTGGAGATTTTCGAGTTTTTAACATAAAAAATTCATAACTTTTGTAGATGAACATCTTTTACGGCGAGATGGTCACCGTTTGAACCGACTCGTCCTCCGTTCTCAAACGATATACAATTTGTCTCAGATCCGTTCAAAAAAGTGCCTGGGTGAAGGGTGTCCTAGTGATTTCTAGACATTTTCGAGTTTTTAACATAAAAAAAATCCATAACTTCTGTAGTAGAACATCTTATACGCCGCGATAGTCGCCATTGGAACCGTCTCATCCTCCGCTTTTAGAAAATATATACTTTGCCTAGGGTCCGTTGAAAAAAGTGCCGGGTGAAGGGTGGGTGAGACTTTTATAATGGGAGTGCTCAAGTACAGGCTTTTTTACCATTGTAAAAAGACGTCTACTTGAGCACTCCCATTATAAAAGTCTCACCCACACTTCACCCGGCACTTTTTTCAACGGACCCTAGGCAAAGTATATTTTTTCTGAAAGCGGAGGACAAGATGGTTTCAATGGTGACCATTAAGATGTACAGGATGTTCATTTACAAAAGTTATGAATTTTTTTAATGTTAAAAACCCGAAAATTCCCAAAAATCAGTTGGCACACCCTTCACCGCACTTTCTTGAATGGATCTCCGATATGCTATACGCTTTCTGAAAGCGGAGGACGAGACAGTTCCAGTAGTGACCATCTAGCCGTAAAAGATGTTCATCTACAAAAGTTATGAATTTTTTTATGTTAAAAACTCCAAAATGTCCAGAAATCACTACTCACACTCGTCACCAAGCACTTTTTTCAACAAACTCCTCTTCCTGTACATAAACAATTTACTTACAAATAGCTCCTTTGCTTAACCTTACCTTACTGTTGATTTTTTTCTCGGCTCATGGGTGAAGAGGGGGTGAGAAAATTCTCACACTATCGCACCTGTGCCAAGTAGTAATCAATAGAATGAGAATCATTCTCTGAGAAATCGATTTCCACAAAATGTGAGGTATATTCAAAGCGAATAACTTTAGGACGGCCTTACATATATTCGATAGCATAGGTCTTTCAGATTACTTGAGTTTCTCGAGTTTGAGTATCCTAGTTAAACGCGGGGATTTTTTTTTGAAATCGAACAGCACGGACACGCCAAAGGACTTCGCGACAAAAAACTATTTGCAGTGCAGATTGCCTGAGAGTATCGTGCGGCATAAGTCTCGTTTTCCGAAACACAAGGAGGCAGCTGAGCGGCACGTTTGAAAAGCCGAAAAAGGTGCGTCTTACACCGTAAAATTAGGTGAATGGTTGCTGAAAGCACAATCATTGAAAGTGAAAGCCAAAAGTGGGACGTTTTTTTGTTTTTGCAGCCACACCTTGCCAAGGAAGAGCCGGCAACGCAAGCCACGTTGCGGGCGCAGACGTGGTGTGACAACAAGAACAATGTGGGAAAGCTTTGCTACGTTGTTACGCTTGCACAAATGAGGCGGCGCCCCACCCATCCACATCATTTTGGGGGAAGACATAAATGAGATCAAGGGTAGGTTGATGCAATAGTTAAGCGTGAGCTTTTTGCAAGAAGAACCACTTTAGCACTTGATTTTGGTCCGTGTAACCACCGTAATATTAGTAGTGTTCTCAAGCAGAGTTATTATGAGATCAGTAAACAACTCCCCTAAATAACTCTTCTAAGCAAACTTTTTTGGCTGTTAAGTGAGAAAGCACTAGATAAATCTCTGAAATGATAAAAAATACCAGTGGAAATCAAGCACGCAGCAACTAGTAAAGAATAAAATGAGTAGCCCACTAGTAAGCGAGTTGCTCTGAAAAAAAGTTCTACTACTCGCAAGTACTTACTTTCTATGAAAATGACTATACCTCAGATAATCGCCGGGGGCAGGCGGCCATGCGATTTTTCCACAAACGGGAACCGGAAAAATAGTTCGCTGATTTCTTGCGGTCCGCTTGCAGAAATTTGAATGTTGGCCAATTTTTAGAATGCTCGGAGAACAATCGCGGTTTTCGATGGATTAGTTGCGGCGCAGTGGCCGCATTCTCGCAGACTTTCCGCGAACATGCAGAAATCTTGAGGACCGCACGGTCCTTTGTGAAGGACCGCACAGCCCGTAGGTACCTTCCACTAGGAGAAAGTACCCCAAACTCGGATAATTAAACTATCGATGACACCTCTGCCACATAGAGCCTCACCTTTGCTCGGCGTACGCCCGAAACTGCTTAGGAAGAGTCCGAGCGCCTGCTGAAAGTTTGGGCAGCGCTCGCTGAAGGAGATTATTTGACGTGCGCTTGCAGGAAATTTTGTATTGCTGGCAGAAAAAGGAAGTGCCGCTTGCTGAAAATTTGGCCACGCCCCAAAATTTTGCTGACCGCTTGCAGAAAAGCGCGAAAACGGAACCCGTTTTCCGGAATGCTTGCCCCCAGCGATTGTCTGAGACAATAACGGAAAATAAAAAAAGCGCGCAATATAAGAACATCCATTGAAGGTTGAGAAGAGATCTAAAAGAAAACTGATACTAAGGAGATTGAAAAAAACTAATTGTAAGATAAGAAAAACTTCTCGCAATTCGAACGCACAACTCTCGAGCTTCTCGCATTCGTTTTGGGACTTTTAGTTATCCTGGCGCCGGTCCGAAATTGGATTACTCTCCTTAACCGCATGAGCACCGCACGTTCGGACATGTGCGTCATCTCTCATGCCCGCCCGCTCCCTCCCCGCCGGTCCGGCAAGTCCGGCGCTGGTCCGGTATATGTGCCCGCTTAGCCGAACACCTCAGTTGGCGGGCCGCTCGACCGAATTTTTGTCTGAGCATCCATGTTCTGCTCAATGCTGGGCTTACCTTATATTCTTGAAGCCTAAAGGTGAGTTGAAAGTGCAGCAATGTGCTCAATTTCGCAATTTTGTGCACGACTTCTCTGCTATAAAACTACTTGTAACTTCGTCTACAAAGGCGCTAAGCAATTATGGAATACGGATTCGAAATTAGCGTTAAATGCTGCATGAAACGGTAGGCAGCTTGCTTGGAATGGCCTCTTCGACTTCTGACCATTCCCTCGTAAGCGGTTCTCTTTGCAATAGTGCACACTCCAAGTATTGTTTACACTCGTGTCTGTTTTTCCTCCATGACCCGCCATATAAAAGCTCAGAGAGCATAAGATAATTTGCCATTTTGTAATCCCTACTCGATTGCCATGGAGGACTCCAACATGATGGATGTGGGTCTCGTCGGTGCAGCAGTCGCTTGCTCATTGGATAGTTTAGACTTCACCAAGCGAGGACCCATCTGAGCAAGTGTTGGATGGTGAACAGCAGATTCTACTTGAATTACTCGAAGAACATAGCACACCTTATGCAAAAGCAGCGAGTGCATTATATTTCAGGCGCATCTTTACCGCAGATCTGCCTAATGAAACACGAGATCCTGTGAAATATGCTCGCCTGGTGAGTATCGATAAATCGGAGGTGAATCTAGCGCTATACAAACAAATTGCTTTATCGCAGAGCATTTCATCCCTATAGCTTTCAACAACGAAGATCTTTAAGTTTTTGTAAAACTAGCAACTTTTCAAGTCGTTATTCTCCTACACATAAAAAACTTCATCGTTGCAAATGCAATGGCAATGTCTGGAAATTAGCCGAAAATATGAGCTTAGGACGAACAAATATTTCGATCAACATTTGCCCCGACCCTTACTCTTTTTTGCGTGGAGTAAGGCATACATAGCGCGAGGGTAGTAAAGTTGGCAACGCTTTGACTAATTTGGATCTTCAAATGACAAAACAAGGGTCAAATCTCTAGTGAGACGGACCTGTCTTGTCCATGGGGGAAAAAAGCTTGGTGATCGATACCTTACCAGAACTCTAGGTTCAGTTTTCATTGCACATCAATCGGAGTATCATCATCCGTGCTGTCTCTGCTTAGCAGAGGCTCGCACTGGCTTCTCTATCTACAACCTTCCTCTTGCTCGCATGATGCTGGCTTTGGAACTCACCGTGCGAGGCCGGCCATCTTGAACAGATTATAGGCAGCTACTCATTTTATGAGCTTTTCCTTGTAGGATCGGTAACGTTAGAAGGAGAAAGTCCTTGCGGATCAAAAAAAATTTCGGTCAGTTAGGGAAGTTATTATGGTCGGGTAGTTTTGATAAAGGACAGTCATTCAGCAGTAAGCGTAGCGCCGTGGAAGCGGCTATTATACTAGTAGCGAATACAGGATCGAATACTAGGTTTATCGGTAAGGCGCATAGAAGAGTAACAAACAATACAACGAGAATGTGTTCAATGGCGATCTACAACGAGGGTTGGCGGTGGATACGAGGAGGGTCCGCAGCAACGGAAGAAGGTGATGAAGTCGGACACGACCGTCCGGCGGCCTGCCAGAGAGGAAGACTCCTCGATGCGGCGAACTGTCTGGCCACGCCCTGAACAGATGAATCATAGCTACGCATATCGTACAAGATCTCTTACACCTCCCCCATTTTCCTACAAGTCCGTCCTCGGACTGAAATAAAGAGGTGAGAACAAAATCATGCGGGGGGTGCATAATGAAACGGAAAGATCCTACCATCATGCAGCTGGCAGTAACCTGCCCAAATCGGCGGCGGGGACCACGGCTTGTCGTTGTTCCGCCCAGCGGATGATCTGCGCCCATGACGGAGTTGCGCGGAGTGAAGGAACGTGCCCCAGGAGGAATAATCCATGCCGCGCTCTGGTCAAGGCGACGTTGAGTCGCTTACGGTCATCGAGGAACTCCGCGGGCATATTGGGATCGATGTCGGTCCTGGTGGTAAGCAGGACAACTATGTCCTTTTCGCGCCCCTGAATCGAATCCACCGTGGCAAGTTCGATGTGGGCATGGCGGGCGTAGGTGTCCATCCGGCGCAACTGTTCCTTATAGAAACAGAGTATGCATAGCGACTGAGGTCGGATACGGCGGGCTAGTAGTCGGTCGGCGATGTTGCGGCACACTTCTGCTTCTGCGTCGTTGAAGCGCGCTCCGCGTTGCCCTCGACATTAATGAAAAGACAGGGCGTTTGACCATCGGGTACTGCGATGACATCCAAAAGCATCGACCTGTCCTCGGCGCGTGCACCACTCTGCAACGTTCCTCCATAAATGAGATCATTGGGTAGTCCGTTGAGCAACGGATGAGATCTGAATGTGGTAACCAATGAGGCTACCGGGACCGCGGGTGAGGACATGAGCACGTCCATCGTGCTCTTGGCGCCAAACTTTGCTGGGTTGGAATTTCGGGGACAGCGGGTATGGGGTTCCAGTTGATGGATATCCCCTATGCACACGTGCCGCGCCTGCGGGAGCCTGTTCATCATGGCAATAAGCACCGGTTCGGGTATCTGTGACGTCTCGTCTGCGATCACGGTGTCGTAGCGCGGAGCATACGTCTCGAAGATGCCTCTGGGACCTGCGGTGTAGAGCAGCGATGATGTGGTATTGCACCAGATGTGCGGGAATCGCACCTTGAACATGATTTTGATCATGTGCTCGATAGTGTCAGACACTTCCTGCTCGGCCAGGATGTATTCGTCCCGTTGGTCTTCAGAGAGTTCTTGGTTGACCATTCCCTTGTAGCGCTCGAAGCAGAGACGGCCGGTCTTGAATCGTCGGCAAATGTCCTTATCGCGTCTACTGAGTAGAGGGGCGAAATCATCACCCAGGGACTTTAGCACTTCGTTTAAGTCCACACGGAGGGGTACAGGGTCGTCGGAGGCTGCTGTCTCTGAGACGTAGCGGAGGAGGTTAAGGCCTTTGGTCGATTCCAAGCCCATGAGCGTCTGAGCGAACTGCGAAACCGCTGCGTTGGTGGAAGCTGTGACGACAATTTTGCGATTCGAAGAGGAAACGAGGCGTGAAGCTATCACTGCTCCAACGAGCGTCTTGCCGGTTCCGAATGCGGCTTGGATTGCCGCAATGGAATAATCAGAGCAACCCAATTCTACTGCGCGGCGCTGATCCTGGGAAAGGGTAACGCGAGCACTTCGAAAGAGTACTGTAGTCTCCTCGTCGGGCAAAGGGTGGACTCCAGTACGATGGTCGGCTTCCGTGATCGGGGGTTCGTGCGCATAGATCCTGGTAACTGCCGTGTTCGCTGGCGTTCCGTCGCGGATGTTCTCGAAAATATTCATCTTTGCGATGGCTTCGTAGGCGGGCTCAATGGTGGTTGGGATTGGGCCGAAACGTACCGCACCGTCCAGGAGAAGTTCGGTGCCGAGGGGTCTTCCCCATCGTTCAGCGGCTTCCGTCAGGCTTTTGTGGGACCACGGGTGAGCGATGACAGTGATGCGCAGTTGTCGTGCTTCGGTATCAAATGTGACCTGGTGAACCTTGACGATGAAAGTGTGGTGGGACTCCTCGAGCCACAACTCTACAGGGCGACCTCTTTCCCAGCCGCGTTCTGAAATCATGTTGGGAATGGTGAAGTAGATCTGTAGTGGGTATAGCCTGAGGGAAGGGACAACGGGTTCAATCCAGTGGACTTGTCGGTCGTCGGCGTCGGTCTTCACGGCGGCCAGAGCAGAGGCTGCGGCGTTGAACAACTGAACCATACGTATTCTTGCTTCGCGGGGGTCAAGGCGGTAATTACGGAAAGGGCCTTCGCGATCCTGAAGCCATGCGCGGTCGAAGGTGTTCAACTTGTGGACCATTAGCGGGAGGATTCCTTCCCTGGGGTGACAAGGGACTGTGTATCGTATCATGTTACATAGGAGTTTACGTGCTTCTACCGAGGCCGCTGGTTCCGAGAAACGGATGGCCGACGATGAGTTGTACCGAGCTTCCGCGAGGAGCATCTCGTCATCAGTAATGTGTGTGATCGGGAAATCGGTGAGTGCTTGAGTTATCATCACTGCGTCGGGTGCGTCGGCGAACGCTGCGGAGAATTTGAAGGGCCTTCCACCTTTAGTGAGGACTCGCAGAACATGGCCAAGAACGTTGTGTGACCAGGTCTCCGGGGTTGCAAAGGCAAACGTGGCCGCGCGGAAAAAGAAAGCCGCGTCGTTGTCAAGAGTATACGAGCGAGGGGAGCGAGCACGCTCCAGTATCCGTTGAGGATCCATGAGGGCTTGAGGGGTGGGCTCAATGGTCCAGATCCATACCAGGTCCTTAACGGAGACAAATGTTTTGTCGAAGCCCCGGGTGTTCGATTGGATATTGGTTGCGAACTGGTCAAGACGAATGCAATGCAACTCAGGTAGGTCCGGGCCTGGAACAAGGAAGTCCTTCGTAATGTCCACGGAGGTGATTGACAATAGCGTCGTAGTCGATCTTCGCTTCTGAAGTGAGCGTCTCAATGCGTTCGCGTGCCACTGATTCTAAATGAGCGATAAGGTAATTAGCCTTGTCCTGAGATGTTACTATCTTACGCAATCGCATTTCGTCTTCAAGGCGACGCAGCCACAATGCAAATGATTGTGACGGCGAGACGCCGCTGAATGGGAGAATACGGGTAGGGAGCCCATCAGGGCAAAATGTTGCAACTAACGGAAGCTGCTCAATACGCGAGCCAACGGCTGCGAAAGACTCATTAATTCCTTGAAGCAAGTGAGAGTTACCTTGGTTTACCTGTTCGGCAAGCAAGGAAGTTGAGCGTTTCGCGTCACGCCAAGCATTCAGCAAGGCTTCCGTTGCGGCGTTCTTCAGCTCCTTGGCGTCGCGGCCATGTACCGTCGCAGGATCCTCTAAACCGGACAGCGCGGTGGACAGCGGCGCCACCACGGTTTCCGAAGAGACGGGCGAGTTGGTATCCGCTTGACTGGATTGCTCCAGGTGCGCTTGGGATCGGGTCACAGGGCTCATAAGTCACTGGAATAAGTGTGATTTCGAAGCGAAATAATGCCGGAGGCAAATGCTTAGCGAGCAAGAGCCGATAAGTTTACAATGAACAGCAAGGCAATAGAAGGGAACTAAGGAGTGCTTGTTGTATGCTGGGACTAGTATCTTATATAGGATAAGCGAAGCTTATACATGCGTCGAATCGTTCTCACAACAAAAGCTCCGACCCCCTATCGCAGCGAAAGAAAAGTGCGTGGAATTTGCTAACTGCCCCGCATATCAGCGATATTATCTAGGTTCCCATCAACCGAGCATGAGAAAAGATTTATAATATTGTTTTGTTTCAAATGTTTTTTCAGCGGCCATGAGATCGAAATGCGCGATAACGCCGGCCTGCGAAAATTCCAACGTGCATAGCTTACGGCTGCGCGGCTGTAAAGTGACTTACTGAGGAAAAGACTTAAGTGATAGAAGAAATCTACAGCCGAATACCTGCGACAGAAATTAACAGCTGAACAGCTGCGACAGTTCCGAGGCGCCGTGCAAAAGGAGAATGCGAAACGAGCAAAATATGTGCTAGATTTTACTTGAGCACTACGATTAACGTACAGCTATACATGTATACATATACATGTAGAAAGAGAATACGGGTG